CGACTTCACCGCCGAGAGGCAAGCGTGTGCGCGCCTTCTATAGAAATGAGGTTGATTTTATTTTGTTGTCTCTTTGTTTCTTTTCCTTAGCCCTTACAACAACTCAACGCTTTCAGCTCCGCTCCGGGCGCCCACGGGCTTATAGAAAACTCACGCTCCAGATAGTTCTTTGTCATTATACTTTTTTTAATCTTTACGAACTGTCTCCTCTCCCAGTTTTTTTTTTCTTTTTTTGTGTGCCCGCGCTGATCAAACAGTGGTGGTTTATTTACAAATACAACTTTGCAACGCGAAGAACGAGTGAAAAAAGAAAAGAAAAGAAAGGAATGGCGCTCATGCGGAGTTCGAGAGTCGAAACTCGTAGAATAAGAGCGCCACTCTGTACAGAATGAGGCGGGCCGCTAGTTCAACAAACAATTGCCTGCGCTTGTGCGCACAGAAACTATATAACAAACTTCGTTGTTTGCATGATCCAATGCCTGTCGGTACGTTGCGCTTGTCTTTTTTTTTTGCCGCAACATCATTCAGTTAAATCATCCATCGTATTTCCCTTCAACCAAGCAAAGTAGTGGCGAGTGGTTCAAGAAAACAATTTCCACGGGTCTACGCGGCTTTAACTAGAGAACAAACAAAAAAAGAAAAAAGTAAGGGGGGATAGGCGCTGCGACGGGACCAGAATTACGACAAAATGTCTAATTTTGTGTGTGTGTGTGCGTGTGTGTGTGTGTGTGTGTGTGTGTGTGTGTGTGTGTGTGTGTGTGTGTGTGTGTGTGTGTGTGTGTGTGTGTGTGTGTGTGTGTGTGTGTGTGTGTGTGTGTTGATTTTTTTTTCACGGCTGATGAGTGATATTGCCCTGCATGTGAGAGAAAAGAAACACGCGTGCATGCCTCTGTCGCCACGTCCAGCCAGTCGTTGGGGCGAAAAAATAAAGCGAGGCCTTAAACAAAAGTGTACAAAAAAATCCCGATGAACCACGCTGCCCAGCAAACATTCGTATACAATCATGGTTCCACAAACAAAAATATTTCAACGCATGGCGAGGGACGCTATAACTTGCACTTTTCCCTGCAGGCAATGGAGTTAGATGGGAAGTTTTAGGCAGACTAAATTCTTAAACAAATTGCATGAAAACTCGAAGTATTTTGAAGGGAGGAAGGAGGTAGAGCAAGGAAAGGCAAGAAGGTCGACTGGGCGAGCGTCCGATTTGCTGTCCTACACACCCAGGGGAAGGGGATTGAGGGATGAAAAGATAGAGAGATAGAATGAAGAGAACATAAACACGTGAGATTAAACTAGGCTGCTTCCTTCGATAGTAGTGGACGCAGGATTTCAGGCGTATCAAGTGTTGTCGTGTTTTCGAAGGGTTCCGTGACAGTTAACAAATATGACTAGACGCTAAGTGCGGTAAAAAAAGAAAAGTTTGAAAAATAATACTTGTTCGAGTCTTACACACCAAAACCACGATGTTATGTGACATGCCGAAGTGGGTTACTCTCCATTCGTCTCGACCACTTGAGGCTCCTCAACGTGCAGCTAGATTGCAAGCACACGATTGTTTTGGTGTATGTTCCAAGTATCGTACACTCGTAAATGTCAATTTCGGATTGTTACCTACCTTCACTAACACTATTACTGTCATCAGGAATAGCAGAAACTAGCTCTCAGGAACGATGCATCACAGAGAAGTGCGACAGCTGATTGGCTCCACGACATAATAGATTGTCCTACCGATGCACTCGACCAAGTTCGAAGGCATGAGCCGGCTGCCAGGCTCATGACGTTAATCTGGAGTGCGTGCTCAGTGGCGCAGGCTTCTTTACATCAGCCTTTGAGAAGCAGATGCTACATTTCTAAGTTTCATCTAACATTATTGTTAGAGACCCCCCTTTTTTGTTCTTTTTTTTCTGAAGTAGGAACCCACCAAGCAACACAATGGTGCTCGCGAACACACGAGAATTCCTTCGCGACGCGCGGGCTAAGTTATTTCTCGTTATAGAATTTTCAAGGAAGTCTCAATACCCTAAATTCGCCATGCGATAGATAATACCGGTGTCACACGGGTACATTTAATAGCGATCAGAGTCGATTCGGATTAGGCACGATCCAGATCAGGCACAGCTACACGGTCACTTTTAATCACAATCAGGCAAGATCGGGATCAAGACTATCGCAATCTCCGCATCGTGATCTGCCCGAAAGACCGCGATTTTGCTGCCGTCTGCACCCCCAAGCTGAGCTTGTTGAAAGCAAAACAAGAAAATTGAGCATAGTTCGATAAAAATGCCTTAAAACAGCTAAATATTTATAAAAGCAAATTCTAAACTTCTTAAATTGAAAAAAATTATCTAAGGTATTGCATATTTTAGGATTCGCATCGACCGCATGCATGAAGTTACGGGAGAAGCAGGCGGCAAATAGACGACAAGCAGTCGACCGTTGCATTCAGCGCTTAATCCAACTCTCGGTTGATCGGAGCTGTTAAAGCACCTAGAAGCAAACTGATTATGAGTGTCGCAAGCCTTTAGACTATACGTCGCAACGTACGCGAACTTCGTGGTCGAATGAAGAGATCTTCACAGTAACTGACCGCTGCCCGATGTGACTGGAACAGACTTGAGGCGTCAGAAGTGAAACACTGGCGCGTACAACGAGATTGACGCTTCGCTGCGACTACAGGGCTACGAGCGGGTGCTATCAGAAAAAAAAAGTGAAGGCTAAGAATCTTACACAGCAATACAGGTAAGTGCAACGAAAAATTCATCGAGTGATGGTGTTATAAAATTACTATCGCAGTGGTCTGCAATGTTTTTGACGTTCGAGCGGTTCTTGCAGGTATACCGTACGTCGAGTTTTGTCAGTGGCATATTTTACGGCACGCAAATGCCACCTGGGGCATTTCATCTGACCTAAGCTCGAATTTAATTCGCTTGGGCTGTGTAGCAGTGATCATAAAGTTGATCGCGATCAAGGGAACTCATCCGGATCACCCTCATTGCAATTAATAGTACCAGTGTGACACCGGTATAACTTGCAAAAAGTTATCTATATCACTAAATAACTTACGACAGATAATTAACGGATTCCCAAATTAAGTGCCCGTCGCTTGCGCATTCACAAATTAGAAGTCACTCGTCAAGACTCGATGACACTACGCTGCTAGAGACATATGGCATTGTATGCGTAACTTGCTAGTGACGTCAGTTCCTGCCTTCCGTCCGCCATTAACGAGCGCACGGAGCCCATAAGTCTGAGTGACCGCTACGTGTTTACGTTCACGCTGCGGATTGTTTGGCGTATAGTGCGCGGGTTTTGATCATTTGCCTCCCACTTGTGATGAAGGAGGATCGTTCAGGACATTATGCAGCCAGAAGCGAAGCAGTGTTGACTGGAGAACTCGGATCCTCCGCGTCTGCACCGTCGGAGTCCATGGTGCCGCACCTAACGGGTGAATCTTCTTTGCCCGGGATTTCGAAACACAACTTGCCTGCTATGAAGTGACGCCCGCACATACGTACGTTGTTCAAAGTTTTGATATCTTTCTTATTCACGCGCATAAGCCATGGGCTCCACATCTCGGACAGCTCTTTCGTGCGGTCGCACGTGCTTTGGCAAACAGTACCTTCTGCTTCTGGTAGTTTTTTTATCGCATCTACTTTTTGCACGGGCGTTAAATATAACACAGATCACTATTGTGACGTATAGGGCGTTGAGGGGAAATGCGAGAGCCACCCGGCTTCAGTCGGTTTTGTCTGCTGTTGCGTGTTCGGTGAGGCCGGCGCATAGCCGAGATCGTATTGTAGAGTTCCGCAGTGTGACGCACGCTATGACTGCGACAATATCGTTTCATGCTTCTCATTTTGCTTACATACTCAGATGAGCGGTGCTAACATATTTAACACGAGTACAGAATAAAAGTTCTCGAGCAGCTGTAGTATGATAATATCTACTTTAGAGAATAAATAAATAAGGTATAATGCACACCTGGCAGTTTTATTTTTAATATTTTTAATATATCTTGTGATATATTGCTCCAATAAAAAGAAGTCAGTCAGATATACGTCGTTTTCTTTAGCAAAAATAAACTACGAGAGGTATGTGGTTAGTGCACAAATCGCACTTAAAGTACCAATGTGACAGTGACAGAAGCGCACAGAAAAATCAAGACGCCGGACGACCGCTGCCTAGGAACTTGGAATTATTGAACAAATGTGAACACACGAAAAACTAGCACTACGCATGTGCAGGAGTCGGGATCACGTTGAAAATTTGCAAAGCATTTGTACACCTCGCCTTTCACATTCTGGACCTCGGGCGCTTACCTCGTGTACGCATGCTTGGCGCTTTGTCCACGTGACCTAGAGTCCTAAACCCGCATGGTGTTGGTTTTTCGTGTGTTCAGAGCAGTCAAATGAATTTAAGCTGTCAGACAGCGGTCCCCCTGAGCTCTTCATTTTTCAGTGGTTTTCCGTTGTTTTCGCGCTGGTATTTTGAAGGGCACCTACACAACCTCTGAAAACGCACAAAGAAGAAACAAAAACTATATTGTTATTCTATCCGAGAGTTTCCCGCCTTTTCCGTTCAGTTCATGACGCCAGAAGTCTGTTCACATGAAGTCATGAGAAAATAGAAAAATAGGCTCTCGGTTGGTTTATGTACGAGGGAATTCAAGTGCGAATCTACTTCTATACTGCACACTAAGTCATTCGACCCTGTCTCTCATGAGTGTCTCATGCGATGAACTGATTTCACTTAGTTTAGTCCGTTTCCGACAGCGCAAGCTTAGGGAACAGTGTGTAGCCGAAAAGTGCTGACATTGTCCAAGTGCTTTACGACAAAATAAGTGGCGATGAAGAGACAGCGCCAACGCAATCAAGGTGAAAAAAAAACAGCCTTTCATCTTTGATCTCGCTGTGGTTTAGGGGCCCTCAATTGTGCATCAGTTTGAACTCACCCATCTCCATACTTTAGCGCACGAAATGTGATGTAATCGTATCTGTCACCTCGAGCAGATGTGATTTGGCATCGCCGAGCCTGTCCGCCGGTCGGTGTTTGGGTCGCAGCTTGTAGAGATGAAACTCGGCTTGCAGCACTTCTTCCTTAGCCGACTCGCTGGGCGTCACGTTGAAGAAGAAGCGCAGTGGACTCTCTGCACGAAAGGGAATGGAAATAGACATGGTTAAATAAAGATCGATAAATATAATCACTCGGGCCCACGGCATCAACGACAAATCAATGTCATTCAGTGTGACGTTATTTCCTCCTAAATGTTACTTTCCATGGCAAACATTACCTTTGGGACATCACTAATTTAGTGTTTTTATAATTTCGAGGATTATAGTGTTTGCCAAAGGGCTTGTGCACTCACTCAAAAAAAATATATCATTACTTTCATGTCAATGATAATACAGAAAACCTACGCATATCTTGTTATCGCAAACAAGCACTTACATTTACATGCATATAATGTACCAGGATCGAATGCTTATTGCTTTCATTTGAAAAAAATAATAGGAGACCCTTAAGTTTTGTGTTCAAGAGTTCAACGCGATAGCGGTATTCTGCCCCTAGAGCGTACTTCAAACACTTAGTGTATGAAATCTTTTCGAACTTGCCATGCGCCCACTACGTGACCTTGAGGGAATACGCGAAGTAAAGTGTGCACCTTTTGTAGTGAGTGATGGGCTTTAAATCTTGAAGTGATCACAATAATCGCATGTTCTGCCGCCCGATGGTAATGTAAACTTGTACCACGCAATATTGCTCCAATATTCCATGTTGTATTGTGAAGCATATATACAGGACACGTGCGTTCACGAAAGTAACTTTCACTGCATTTCCAAGCAGAGGAAGTTATTTGCATAGCGTTCACAAGCAGACGCGTGCCTGTGTGGCAGAAAACCGGCTTGCTGCGCAAACAACGGCTTCCATTCCCGCTCGGAACCAGAACTTTTTCTTTTATTTGCATCATTTTTTATTTCTCGATCACGAAGGAGACGATGATTTTTCACTCACTTTCTAGGAGGCCGACGCCGGAATTTCTGCGAAACAAGCTCTTCAACGCTATCGCGTTAAAACTTTGTCTCAAATGTAATATACGATAGCTGAGGGGGCAATGTAATCCACGTAATAATTAGAGTAAACTTAATGTACATGCCTATTTCATTTTCGCCCCATTATCAACCCACTTTGATAATTAGTGGGGGCAAGAGGGGATTATACAGTGTTTTTATAGTGCCTATATATGCACATGTTGAGCCATGTGCCTAAATGCCTATTTAGTTTTTTTTTATCAAATGCGAAACATTTCTTTGCGTATACTGCAAGTACTTTTGGTGCCTGCCTGCCTGTCTGCCTGCCCGCCCGCCCACCCGCCTGCCCGCTCGTCCGTCTGCCCGTCCTCTTGCGTGTGGGTGCTCTCGTGATCACTTCTTGGCGTGAACCAAAATTAGTGGGGGAGGTAAGATGGTTTGACGAATATGAGGCACTGGTTCTGGCATTGATAATGTCACAATGCCATCGCATACGTCATCAGAGACTTCCCACCAAACAGTAGCACGTACCCACGGGCGGGTATGTGCCACAGGTGATTGACACTTGGTATCTACCCAGGAACCATGAGTAATGCGTGTGCGCCAAGAAAAACCAGACATTGCTATAGAATAATAAAAACCCGACGCATGCAAAGAATAAATGTCGGGCTCCCAGCAGGAATCAAACCCAAGCATTCGGCCTGGCGATCGAGCATTCTGACACAGAGCCATGCCAGGGCTCGACCTACTGTTCAAATAGACCCGAATGTTCGTGAAACGTCAAATGTGGTTGCAGTTCTGGTTGTCCAATTTTATTAACATTACTTATGTACTCCTATGATACAGCCGCCTTGTCGGCTTCACATCAACGGTAATAAGTGTCATGCGCTGAAGTTGATTTATTTAGCAGTATCTAAGGCTATCATCCTCGCGGGCACCAGCGCTTGATATCGGCTTCTTGTTTCTAGTGTTGCTAATATTTATTTTACTGTTGGCATCGTTGCGCAAGCCCAATGAACTGATTATGTCAACATCTGCAGCTCTTCGACCTAAGTATGTGCGTGCAACATTTGTACACATATTTTGCGTCATTTCATGACATGTCGCTCAATAGGAACATTAAAACATACATAGTCCCCTTCCTTGCGCGTGCTTCACCTAACGTCTATTTTTGAGGTAGTACGTTGGATTTGCCAAATTTTTATTTATTTATTATCTTTATTTAGGTGGTCTTTACAGGCCTCGTTAGGGGCATTTCATAAGGGGGGCATCACAAAAAATAAATGATCACACATAATGAATACATATTATCATACAGATTGAAATAGCTCGAAGCACACACATAACTTCACAAACACATTGAAATATTGGCTAACGATAATTGCAGAGGTAAAAGGAGCAAAACGAGTAGTTCAACACATGTAATATTAAAGCAATTAGAGTGAAATAACATCAACAGATACAATCGTACAACGCGTAGGCAATTCAGAGTAAAAAAAGTGAGAGTACAAGATATCAACAAAAAACTCAAGCTTAAAAGCTAATAAAGCAATCATAACAAAAAAAAGACGTTATACATTTTCTCGAGTTTATGCAGACGAATGAAGTGCCTATTAACGCCATTTTCAAAATCGGTGCCTATATGAACACTATTTAGCCGCGAGATTTGCCTGCAGATTTAGTTTGAAACCATTCTTCATGTTCACGAGCAATTTGGAGATCAATGGGGTTCCACGTAGCGCTTTTTTTCAACCAGCTCCCGGAGAACAACTACTATAGAAGTAGAGTGGGACGAGCCGGTCAGCATACCCCGCCGCGCTGACATGTAACAAGCGGTTGGCAATTGCGAAACCACAAAGATACGGCAGGATAAAGGATATTGAAAAGAAGACAAAATTTTGATGAGCATGCGGTTCTTATTTTGATCGTAATTGTCTTGTTACGGTGTTCACCGCCAGGGTAGAAACTGGCGCTTCGCGATTCGACCAGACTGATGGGAGAAATTTTTACGTTTCTCATATTTAATCAGTCTGGCTAGATGCTCCTGCTCTGCGCTCCTCAGCTAGCTGGGAAAAAAAGCCACCCAGGAGTGTGTTCATTAGACAATGAACACTTAACTTATCGTGGTACACAATCAGCGGAGGCACTGCTCTGCGAACCATGTGGGGAAAAGGACGATTACATGGCTATGTTGATTACAACGTCATTACATTTTTGCTGTAGTCCATTACATTCAGTGGTTCCTCTAAGCACACGACAAGCCAGCGTTAGGAGATATGTCATTTTTAGTCATTGTAATTGTTTCGCTCACCTTACTGAACCAGCCTGCGCGTTTTGACGAAGGTGACCCGCAAGCGGTTAATAAAAAATGGGCCGTTTTTACCGAAGGCAGCTTTAAAAATAAACCGAGCTCGTCTACGTAGAAGCCCCCTTATTGTGTAATGACTGTATCGCGTGTTTCACAAACGTTGTACCACCATTACAGTAGCCAGATGCCGCACGCCCGCTCACAGCGTCCGCACGCGATGAGCCGCCCGGTAAGACGTTACGAAACGGCGGTGATGCGACTGTAAGAGCTTAGTGCAAGGTCCTCAAGGATGGCTTCAGACTTCGCACAGAAAGCTCAAAGCGAGCTAAACTTACGCTCACTACACTATCATAAGTCGTACGGCATACACACCTCATCTGCCGTGTTTTTTTTTTCGGTTTGCGATACTTCTCGGGCCAAATTCACAAGTCCTTTCTGTCGTATAGTCTTCATGGCTAATCAGCATTAAGCAAACGTTGTCCAATGTCTCGAGAAGGTATCTCAAAATGTTTCGTTCAAATGGCGTCAATAAGTTCCATAAGTATGGAAATTGTTAAAGACTTTACAATGCTGTCTAACAGGCAGTCAAAGCATATTTTTAATATGAATATATTTCATGAAACCATCCTTACGCAGAAGAAAATCTGTTAGTATATATATATATATATTGTCACAATGCAGAAACAGCAGCAGTCGAATCCAGGGAACTCACTTTAATTGTATTAGAATACTGGTAAACTGATCAGAAGAGAACCTCGTCTTCTTCACTCGCTGCGCGTGTTCTTCGTTGTTCTCTTCGTGCTGCATATTCAATGTGGCATTTGCCCCCCTCCAGAGAGCAGCGTCCCGATGCTCTTCCTACAAAAGACGGTGCAGTAGATGTATGATGTAAATCAGTCCGAAAAGTAGGGCTTCATTCGCACAACGTGCACGATTTCTGGTTTTTGCTGGCGAGTTGTCGAGGGGTTGTCAGGAACGAACACGTAATTAACGTCGCTCAGGCGTTGTAAAACTGTGTAGGGGCCAAAATACTTCTTCAGCAATTTTTCAGACAGTCCCCGGCGGCGGATAGGACTCCATACCCAGACTTTGTCGCCGGCCCGATAGACGACATGTCGGTGTCGCAGATTATAACGTTGGGCGTCATAATTTTGCTGCTGGGTGATTCGGACGCGCGCAAGCTGCCTCGCTTCTTCTGCTCGTTGGATAAAAGATGCAGCGTCCAAATCGATATCATTGCAGTCGTGCAGTAACATGGCGTCAAGCATCGTCGTCACTTCACGGCCATGAAGGAGACTGAACGGCGTTCTTCGTGTAGTTTCTTGCTGCGCTGTATTATAGGTGAACGTGATGTACGGTAGATTGTCGTCTCAGTTCTTGTGATCCACGTCAACGTACATACTCAACATGTCGGCAATAGTCTTGTTGAGGCGTTCTGTTAAGCCGTTGGTTTGTGGATGATAGGAAGTGGTTTTCCGATGGGCGGTTCCACTGAGCTCAAGCACTGTCTTCAGGAGCGCGGCCGTGAAAGCGGCACCTCGATCCGTTATTATGATTGTTGGAGCACCGTGCCTCAGGACGATATTTTCTACGAAGAATCGTGCGGTTTCAACGGCGGTGCCACTTGACAAAGCCTTTGTTTCGGCATAGCGCGTAAGATAATCAGTGGCGACTATTACCCACTTGTTGCCAGCATGGGAAGTCGGATATGGTCCAAGGAGATCCATTCCAATTTGGGCAAAAGGTACCGTGGGCACTTGAATTGGTTGTAATAGCCCAGCTGGTTTTAACGGTGGCGATTTTCGTCGT